AGCTCCGCCGTGGCCACCCTGTCGGAGGACGGGGGACCCGGACTAGGAGCCAGGAAATGACGGACACGCAGCATTCTGGAGTTGCTGCATGCTGGCGGCAAAGGTCGCCACCTACGCCTGTAAGGGCGTGAGGGTCGCGAGTTGCGCCTGGATGGGCGCAAGGGCCACGAGTTCCGCCTGGATGGGAGCAAGGAGGGAGGTGAGGAGGGTGTGTAGATCCCCCTAGGGCTGATGGCCCTGGTCCGCCGGCACGGGTGTGGAGCCCGATGTCGTGGTCATCGCTGTGTCGGCGGCGTGTGACGCACCGTCGGCCATGGGGAGATGACAGACCGGACTGGAGGGGACCAGAAGAGGTCCGCGTGAGCGGAGGGCGTAGGGGGAAGTCCGCGGTAGAAACCGGCGAACGGCGCTAGCAAGGCTAGCACGGGCGCCATCAAAGGGGCAGGGGTGGTTCGGGTGTAGGGTGCCCGAAGAGGACGCGGAAGTAGGGGGGGGTTGAGGAACCCTAAACCCTACAAAAACCCTACAAAAACCCTTAGAAAACCCAAACCGAGGTTTAAGTGGCTAGGGTAGGGTACCGGTGACCTAATCAAGAAAGTAAAATAGCAAGCATAAGGGGGGGGAGACGGGAGAAAAATAAATAAACAGCGAGATTTCGAGAGAAAATAAAAATAAATAAGAAAATAAATAAATAATAAAAATTATTAAAGAAATAAGTAACGAGATATGAAGGGAAACAATATTTATTTATTTATTTATTTATTTTTTTAAAATTTTCGGCAGCATTTCCCTACCCCCCACGGGGTCAAGAATGTGTCAAGAGGAAGGGAGAGACCAAGGTGAGCACACTAGGTGTCAAGATGCCGCAAAGAAAAAAGAAATTTCGGAAAATAAATAAATAAATAATAGATAAAGAGATAAATTAAAAAAATAAATAAATAAAGAAGTAAAAGTGGATGAGGAGGTGGGGAGGAATGACGTATCTAATTTGTCAAAAATTTTGGCAGCATTTCGTTACCCCCATGGGGTCGAAGTGTGCCGAGAAGTCTAAGTGAAAGAAAAAACAGAAAATTTCGGCAGCACTTCGTTACCCCCACGGGGTCAAAATGTGTGCCGAAAGTAGTAAAGACTAACACCTAATCAGATTTAGGGTTGCCGTAAAGAAAATCGAATTTTCAGACTAAATAGAAAAATAAATAAAATAAATCAGAAAATGAGAAAAAAAGGTGGGAAAGAAGATATTTTGAAGTTTTGGAAAAGAAAAAAGATAAATCAAGAGAGAGATAGAAAAAAAAGAAAAAAAGAAAAATTCGAAGTGGGGGAAAATGGGAATGAAAAAGTGAAGGAGAAGAGAAGGAAATAGGTGGGGGAGGGAAAAAGATGAAGTGGGAGGTGGGGGGATGAGGTGGTGGTAGTTGGGGGAGAGGAGGGTTGGGGAAAGGTGGAGAGAGATCAAGAAGGAAGGAGAGAAGAAGGGAAGAAAAGGAGAGATGAAGAAAATAGAGTAAAAGAATGGGTGGTGGGAGAAGGGTGGGGTGGGGAAGATAAAAGGAGGAGAGAAAAGATGCAGTAGAAGGTGGGGGAAAGAGAAGGGGTGAATAAGAGGAGAGAGGAGAGGTAGGGAGAGTGGGTTAGTAGAGGGAGAGGGGAGAAGGAAGTGATACTTGGCCCTTGGTGTCTCCAAGGGCACAAGGTACACCAAGACCAGGAGGGTCTTGGCCTTCACTGCAGCAAGCCAGCTGTAGGGGAAAGGGGGCTGAGATCTTGATCAGCCCCTAGCAGCCACTATTCTGCAGATGTTCAGATCTAGGGTCTGTTGTGTGAGCAGACCCTCACCACTGTAGAGCAGCCCCCTAAGCAGGGGGGTCTTCTGTTCCAGCACCAGCTGCCAGGTGGCAGGGCAGATGGCCACGTACCCGGCCAACAGCAGCCGACGGCCCGGCGGCGGGGGGGGGGGGAGCAAATAGCAGCCCGTCCGTTGCTGATCTGCTGCTCGTTGCGCAGTGCTCGTCGGCGGGGGGGGGGGGGGGGGGTAAATAGCCAGCACGGCACCTCTTTAACACGACTGTGCCGTGCTACAAAACCATGTACACTCTATGGCGAGTGTGTTAGCAGGGTGCTTACGCACGCACATGGCCCAGCAGCCACCTGGGTTCGAACCCCACCAGCAGCAGTTGCATCCCGGGTTTTGATAATATAAATCCGGGAGCGGGGCGGGGCGGGGAAGCTGGGCATCGTGGGCGCGTGGCGCGCACGCGCGTGCGGCGGCCTTGGCCTTGCCGCTTGCGCGCACGCGCTCGTGGTGGCACCTCCCTTTTTCCCCAGGTGTCACCCGCAGCATGCGTCACTTTTCTCCTTCGTTTTCGCTGCGAAATACCCCAAAAACACCGAAAAAAACCGTTGTTGGGTTTTGCCGCTTTTCCGCCTGTGCGGGTTGCTGCCCAGCTGTACGGGGTGGTGGGAGGAAGCGGGGACCGTTCCCGCTCCGATACCAATGTAG